CAATTGACCAACTTTAAGCAGCGGGTATGAAGTGTATGAGCTTGATTGGGATGTCTAACCTGAGCATATGACTTAGTGGAATAATGATAACAAGCGTTTCCTTGAACTGACTAAATTGAGGCAGTTATATTACCAGCCAATCCCATTTGCACCGGAGCCATTCAAGTTTACCAGAGCTTGCATACAATTGGGTTTTGGTAAATGTAGCATAGTAAGCCCACAGCTTCGAACATTCTGCTCTGACTGTATAGCACAGAATGTAAATGCACAGTAATTTCAATGTTAATCTGTTTACACTGGTAGCTTCATCAGTATTTGGGGTTAGTTAGGAATTTGAAAAGGTCACAAAGAATAAATCTTTCAGAAATCCTGATAGCAGAACTATAGTTATCAATATTTCCATGTTGATCAGTCTGGAACTGATACCAATGTAAAACCTACCCTTATTTATATGTTCCTGTTCTATTTTCCTCACCTTTCACTTTTCCCTTCTCCTGTTCCTTTGATCATTTCCTTCCATTTCTACTTCATCATCTATTTACCATTCTCACTTTCTCCTTTCCTACCCACTAATTCAATCATGCACTAACTCACACATATGTCGGCCTTCCCTCTGGTAAGTTATCCCTCAAAGACACACACTCTATTACCCAAGATGCACTGCCCCGCTGCGCGCCTGCCTTTTCATTGGCCAATAAAACAACCTGAGCTTTATAGCTCTACCAATTCCAAGTACATCAACTATAAAGGGAGAAAGAGAGAGAGAGAGAGAAGAAAGATGAGGAAAAACAAGGAAATTGTGAAGAAAAGGGAGGAAGAGAAAAAGAAAAGAGTGGCTAGAAAGAGGAAATACCCTGTAAAGGGTAGAAGACGGAGAGAAAGCAAGAGTCTACTGCTCAATATGGAAAGAAATGTGAGTGGGTAAGATGAGAGAAAAAGAGAGATGGAGCATAAAGCCTATAAAAATATAGAGAGCCATTCATGACTTATAAAATAACAGCCATCGATGTGCAAACCAAAACTGCAGCGTAGATGAAAGAGATGATATTTTATTGTTCCAGCCCCCAAGTCCCAGCCTGTATAAATAGCTATTGATTCACCATGTTTTATTCAGCCAGCCAGGCGAACTTTCAGGCCTGGGAGACGTCAGCCGGTTGTTGAAGGCAAAGCTGCTGCTCTGTCTAGGCTTTTTCTGCTGCGTTTTAGACTGTTATCTTCTATTGGCTAAAGGTTTTGTCCCAGGTTCCTCAATCTGAGAGGCACTTTAGTCATCTGTCTGGTTTGTAGCAGGGGAGTAATGTGTCGGGAAAGTGGAGGAGAAAACTTCTTATCATTTTACCATCTCAGGTCACTGGCAATAAAACTGACGAAAAAACAAAAAAAGAAGGAAGACTGGTAGAAGCATTGTTTGTGGCTTTAGGCTCTTGTTTCAACTTTGGTGGGTTTTGAGGTAGTTCGATTTTAGCCAGAAAAGAGCAGCGGCCTCCAAATATCTAGACAAGGTAGAGTTTCAGTCTCGCATTAAATTCACAATAGAAGCAAAGAGCTACTGAACATAATGGGAACATTCATTCATGGAACAGCTTTTCACTAGGGGGCAGTGGCAGTGGCAATCCCAAATGAGCTCAAACTAATTATGAATCTTTTTTTCTGCTTATTAATAACATGAATGTACTGTAGCTTCTGCACCATCATATGTCCGAGTCTGGGGCAGCCATTCTATTTTCTCACATATTTACATGGGCTGTGTCCCAATTCAGGGTCTGCACGCTTGAAGTACGCAATTCAAGTGCGGTTACGTCAACGCCACGTGCCGACGGCTGTCCCAATTCGAAGTGTGCTTCAAATGCATACTCCAAATGTGCCGTCGATTTCCCCAAATATTAAGCGTGGTCCGGTGCACACTTCGTGGCCCCATATATCCCACAATTCATAGCGCGGTGGTGGGTGTGGAGAATTTTGCCGCAAAATACGGCAGAAGGGAGCGGCCGAAGAGGTTTTTTTTTTTTTCCAAACTTTATTGAACTTATAAAGCGAACAGTCAGTCATTCCAGTTCAGTTTGTACAGTAGACATACAAGGCAAATAAGAGTAACAATATACAGTACAATGAAATAAGAAGGATAAATAAAGGATAAAAAAAGAAAAAAAGGGGGGGGAATGTGACAGACTTCATAACAACTTTGTACTTGAAAGTTGTGACAGCTCATTCGTTAAACATTTCTGAATGAATTTAAATCAATGATAAACCTTTTTTATTGGAAGTTAATTTAAGAGAGTTTAAGTAATATTCAATTTCAGTCAAAAACAAATTAAATGATGGGGTTGAGTTTTGAAAATCACATTTATGTATGTGGAATTTCCCTAATAAGATGGAGCGGCCAAAGAGTGAACTGTCAAAAGTACTGAATATGACGTCACTTATTTTTGTGCGAATGTTTAATAATTAAAGTCGGTCATATATCCACAAACAAGCTGAAAGTCAGTGATATATATGTATGTATGTATATATATATATAGCCATGGTCTCCCTTACTTTGCGTCTTTCCTTTCTTCTGCTCTGTCCTGTCGTATGTCCTCACTCTTTGCATTTGTATTTGCTCCAGCACATCCATCCAAAGTCACGTATTCACACATCAGTACTACAGCCTGGGGCCTAGTTGAAGTGATGCACCCAGCTATCAATGCCTTTGATTTGACTGTTAATGGGCTGACGTGGACCACCCAACGTCCATGATTTTGAATTCCTGAATTCGTCCTCCAACAAATGTGCTATTTCACTCTAACACACTCCCATGCACACTCGAAGCTACCCATTTTCCCTTTTTGTCTATCCACATCACTTGTTTCTTTTCATGTCCTTGCTTTCTTTTCCTTATTCATTCTTGTTCAGTCTTGTTTTTATCTTCCTCTTTATCACCGTTATTATTTTCCTCGTTGTCTTCTTTTTTACTCACTCCCACTAATCTGCTTTGAGTGTATATCAATGCAGTATTCTCATTTTAAATTGAGAGTAATGGTGCTAAAGATTATCAATACATTAAATTAAAACCCTTCCTGGAATCCATAATCATCACTGTTTGATTGCGCAAATGTGTCTAAATTAGCCTATCATCTATTCATTGCATTTCTGTTCCAAAACTTTATGCTGTTTTCAGTTTGTTTGTCCACCTTTTTCTTTCTTTTCCACCTTACCTTATAACCCCTTTGTGTCATTCTGTGCTCTTCATTCTGAAATATGACATATTGTCTTTAGTCCTGAATGCAAACTGGAGAGGTCATAGTCATGTTGTTCCTCCAGAACAGTTCTGTTGTTTTTTCCCCCTGTCTCCCTCAAAATGTTTTTATTCTTACTCAGTTATTTCTGTGTATTATGCATCTCTTAAGGATCTTTCTCCTTGTTAGTTAATGTATTTGGTAACTTTTCAGTTGATGTGAGTCATTTAGACATTTAGTGATGTGATCTTTTTCTGTTTTTGTAGCCATAGCTATGATGCTATGATGCTGTGATGCACTAATGGTGGTGGGAAAGTTTTCCTTTGAGAATTTGGGGTTGGCCGTGTTTGCCTTTACAGAGCATTTGGTCATGAAATTGAAAAATTAGAAGACGACTAAAAGGAAACAGGAGCCTTTCTAGGTGAGGTAGCTCTGCAAGTTGGCAAAAGACTTATGGCTCACTCGTTTTGTTGTTTCTGTCTCTCTGGTTCAGTCTCCTGCTCTACCTGCCTCTTTGTTTTCACTTTCACACTTTATCCAGTACGTTTTTTCACACTTTGTGGCTAAAGGACAAACAGATATGTACTCGGACAAGCACTTACACACAACCACAAAGTGCTGAAATGTGTTTGGAGTTGATTTGCTTTTAATGTGTTTTTTCCCACCACTCAATAATCTTTTGTACTGACTGTCATTCACAATGACAGCTGTCCTCCTGTGTTTTATCGTGCGTGTTTGTGAGTGCCCATGTGTGCAGTCATTGATGGTTTCACAGTGTGGAAACTTGCCAGTAGCAACACCACGACAGACATTGACAGTTCTTTTAACAGAAGAACTATTTTAGTGTTTCTGCCAGTTTAATGGTTACGGGTCAATTTGCTCAATTTGTTCCAGTCTCAAAGTGGAGATCGTGGAGAGACACACAGACCTATTGTAAAGAGCCATCATCTCTTGAACTCCAAAAATTGATTTGTACTGCATTTAGCAGACAATTTAATAACTGATGATTGATTTACTGGATTTTTTAGATGTGTCAGTGGAGGTGTTTGGAAGACGGTGACTCCAAATTTAAAGCTTACTTTCTTTTGTTTTGTTTTTTGTTTTTTTCTGATTTGAAGATTAAAATATAGAAGAAAGAAAATCAGTCTATTTTGATATTCTTTACAGGTTGAAATTACTGTTTATACCATAACATATTTTACCCTCTAAGACTGCACTTAAGCTGGCATTTTTGAAATTGAATCAAATCAAATGAAATGTCTAATGGGAAAATTGAACATTCATGTTGACAAAAGAAAGATCACTGATTGCAATTCCCCTCAGGCCATGCAGCATTTATAGCATTTTTCATTTTATTGGTTGGTTGTACAGCCAATTGTACACCAGCTGTACATCAGTGAATCCAAAGGATGCTGTTGCATGCCTGCGTGTACAATTAGATGAACGCATAAATGTGTTCTTTTTAAATTTTGAAGCATTATTCAACCGAACCAAACTACTTATGGATAAAAAAACGAAAACAGATATTATTGATTGAAATCAAGCATTACAAAAATTGGTTTAAACAAATTGATATCTAAAACCTCAAGTGCAACGTTAAACCAAACCTGCTTGTTCCTTCCTTTAAAAAATAAATAAATAAAAGATATTTCAGTCATGTTAAAATTAAATGAGCTATCACTTGTTTATTTAAATTGCGTGAGTGAAACAAATGTAAACAGATGAATAAATAAAGCTGAATTATGTAAGTGCATTTAAATGTAAAATTTTCCCATCTACCTCTAGATTACCTATAAGGCACTGAGCTCCTTGGACCCCAGTGCTGATCTGACAACCCAGCGGGGACAAGTTTTCAAGCAGAGGAATGAGACCCACCATCTGTTTGTTGGGCTGTACCCGGGAACCACCTACTTCTTCACCCTTAAAGCATCTACAAACAAGGGCTTTGGTCCGCCTGTCACTACCCGCATAACCACCAAGATTGCAGGTAAACAATACTGTTAGGTGTTATTTGCTTCTTAAAACATTAATACCACATACAGACAGTAAAAGCGTGTTTATTAGACAGCCTGTGTGCTGACATGTCAGTCAGTTGCACTATAAATAAGCGTTTTAATTTGTGTCTCTCTTTGTCTGAATGACCATTTGGTTGTTCTCCCATCTGGCTTTGTATCCCCCTGTTTGTGTCACCAGCCTTGGTCCACAGAAAATGTCAGTCGCTGCACAAAAAAAGGAAAAACAATCAACTTTTGTGGCAAGAATTGTGAAGTGCCCTCATATGTTAATACAGCTCTTTATTCTTGAATGAGAGAACATTATCATTTCAACTGTTTAGAGAAGGCTATGCTGTGATGCCCAAATGACAGAATGACTGATGCTAAATAAAACCCTTCAGCTCATTCTTTGTTATCTAAATCTCTCTGTGTGCCTTTCTGATTTCACATTTTGCCTTTTTTTTCCCAACAATTCTCCTGTAAGCCCTTTACAAATCTTTTACTGGATTGTCTCTCCTTTGTGGTTTGTTTGTTTAGCTAATTAGACCTCATTGAGGCAGTTGTGACCTTTGAAAAAACAAAAGAAAACAGAAAGCTCTGAGGAGACACTCCCTGTAAGTTTGTGCTAAACCGATAAACTCTTATGGCTACAAGTCAACTTTATAGAGAAGGAACTCTGAATAAGTATCGCATTACTGAGAATAATTTTAATTTAGGAATGAATACAAAAGCTGCAGAGTAAAATATGAACATTTAGAAATATAAACCACTCGGTATTTTACTGAAAGCTTGTCACTTCCACATTTGTCAGTCTCATTACATAGTTGACTAGCATACATAGATCTTGTGCTTTCACTTTGTTTCAAAAGAGGCTCTGTATTCAAACCACTTCACTTATCTGTATTCAGTCCTGGAGTCTGTTAAGTGCCACAACAAGTGTCCACTCTTTTACTAAAAAAAGCAGTGTGGTTTATAAAAAATGTGGCCTGAAATTGTTTTCTGTTAACGACACTATTCAACTTAGTTCAATTCCATTCGGTTTTATTGATATAGCGCCAAATCACAACAGCAGTTGCTTTAAGCTCTTTATATTGTACAGTAAAAACCCTACAATAATACAACCCAACAATAATACAGTAAACTACAATATACGCTACCATGTGTTGACAGTATACACGTCACTTCTATTCCCTATAATATAAAAAAACCCCAAAATGTGGGTTCGTGGCTTAAAGTCAAATGCGAATATACCACTGAATCCTTGTCACAGTGCTGCTGTACACGATGAAGTCCTGACTGATCTAGAAGATGAATGCGTAATGTGTTAACAGTATGTTTTAAGTGTTGTCTTATCTGTCAACACCTACAGTGATTTTTAGTGTGACCTTTCCACCGAGCCTCTGTTCTTCCATCATCCTTTCAAAACTTAACAACACATTGCCAAGAGGAACAAAAAGGAAATGTGGTGCCTCCACACATAACAGATGTGTCTTCTTTCAAATGTCACGCCATCACCAATCTTTATTATCTCGTTCAGGAGCTACATGATGTAGAGATTTAAATTAAATGCTGCAGACACATAGAGATGGATGGACAGAGTGGCGGGGGTAGGATTCATGCTAATAACCTGAATGCCATACCAATCAGGGAAAAAAGTGCTGATGTTCTACTCAGACATTTATATGCTGCACCTCCAGTATGAGGGCATGACAGATGTGAAATTAAAATTTGAGTGTAATAGAATAGCTGTGAAGCCCTCGGCGGTGAAGCTTACATCTACTTCTTCTTTACCTTTATACATCCTGATAATGTCATTCTGGTTGAGATATACTGTGATGTTAAAAAAACAGAACATTTCATAGCAATTTAGCATTTACATGTTTTAAATCAGGGATTCGACATACACATGGGAGGGTGCGTTTTTTCTTCCATTGTTGACTCAGAGGAAACATAGCTTTGCCATATGCACGTCTGTCTTTGTCAGTGACGAAGAAGTAGACCTCAAAGGTTGGGTTTTTTTAGACGTCTTTTTTTATTCAAGTTACATTTAATAGTTACATTAACCCTTTAAAGGCGAGACCATAAAAAAAAAAAGTATTTGTATACTACCACAAAGGTACTAGAATGCCTTTCTGGTAGTATCTTGCAAAGCACTGTTGGTGTGCATGTAAGTCAAGAAACATATTGTATTTCTGTGATTTTATACCTTTATAAACCCTTTGTACAGAGTTACTTTTGGGATTGGTTTTGGGATGTATCGCTATTTCTAAAACATGTGTCATTAGAAGGAGGATGATTGTTGGTCAGCTAGCATGTTCACTTGTTTCAAATTGCAGTCAAACCCTTTTGAGATATTGGTTTCTTGTTCAATAGGGCACAGTCTCTCGTACAGACAATCCATCAGTCTGGGATGCATAGGTCAAAGATATATCCAAACAGGGATATATCTTCTTTGCTAGGGTCTTGTACATGTGTATGAGCATGCTACAAAGATCAGTGTCTCCAATATGTTCACTGCAGGCATGAATGAGTCAAGGGCAAAGGTCATCTGTCTTTGTGTGGGCATCATTGTTCCAATGTTCAATAGTCGAAAGAGGAATGAACCCACAGGCATGGCCTTGCCCCATAAAGTTAGATGCTCCGTCTATTATTTATTAAACAGGAAGAAAAACCCAAAAATGACAAATCATGCACTGTCACAATGCTTGTAACATCTCGGTATACAAATATATGTCAGTATAGTAGAATTACACATCCTTGTACTTTTTTCTTGACATTTATCATATTTACAGTTTTTAAAAGATCTCATATTTTATTCATCATGTGTAAGAACTGTACCTCCTATGTGCTGGCTCTGGGCGTGAATCGTTGATGGGCAAAGCACATGTATCTTTGTGTGGACCTCTTTGCTCCATTGTTTGACAGTCCAAAGAGACATGATCCCACAGGCATCAGATTGCATGATTGCTTTGGCCTTGTCACATAAAGTTTTACAGTCCAAAACAAAAACCATGTACTGTTACAATTCATGTAAAATGTCAGTATACTAATGTATAGTATGTTAAAGTTACCAGAATTCACGTACAATGCTAATAAATCTGCATATTTTGTTCTAGACATTTACTATATTTATACTTGTGAAATTGTTTTAGCCTTAATTTCATCTGATAGATAAATAAAAGTGTTATATAAACACCAATGATCAGAAAAGTTTTCATTTGTTTTGTAACGAGACATTTTGAGTTGCATTAGCTTCAGGTCACAACTTTTACCACGAAGGGCCAAATCAGCCATGTTTTTAGAAAATTATTTAAACCTTATAAAACTGTCTTATTTTGAACTTGTCATGCTACTTAATTATTTTCATTAAAGGCTTCCTGGAGGGCAGCTAAATAAAAAGGTCTTTCATTTCAAGACAGATTAACATCCGGTGGGTTTTTTTTCTGAGAATAACAAAACTATGACATGGCTCAAACAGGTTAACTTAATTTCAGTGTCTTTTTAAGAAAGGTATAAGGACTCAAAATGTGCTCTACCAAATGACTGACCACAACCCAAAGCTTTTTAAATTATGCTGGCCAATAAAATTGTCCGTGTACGGTAACCTGTTTTAAAATTTAAATTTGTTAAACCTTTTCAGCCCCCATGATGCCAGAGTATGAGTCAGAGTCTCCACTTAATGAGACCGAGACAACCATCACTATCCTGCTGAAACCTGCCCAGTCCCGCGGAGCACCTATCAGGTAATTTCTTAACGTTCCTTAACAAAATTTTAGTTTCTTTTTCATAGAGTTTCTTTTACTATCCTCTGCTGTCCTACTCACATTTTTCCTCCCAGCATCCCATCTACCTCCTTTTCATTACCCCCCCTACTTTTTTCCATCCATGTTCTTTTGGTCTTCCTTCAGGGCCCTTTTAGAGCCATTGCAGTTACTCACACATATAAGTCTAATTTGTATGCAAAGGAATTCAGAGAATGATATATTTTTTTAAATTTGTCAGTGAAACATTTTGCCATTACTCATTTTGATTTTTGTAACTTTTTGGCTATTCACTAGTGGAATTGCAACTTCTACTGGACATTGCAGGCCCAAGTGTCTGATACTTTAGCTGGTCACTTGAGACTTTGCTTTAATTTAAGGTTTCAGCCATCAAATTCTTAACATAAGGAAATGGAAATTTGGATTTTATTGAGCATATTGTACAGAAAACACCGTATTCATAGTCGTATACATAGATATTGATAGTGTTATTCATTTATACCATACATGCGAAAACAAGGACTAAACAGTATAAAAGAAAAAAGCCTCAGCATAAACTAACACTTGGAGTGGGTTTTTAGCTTGGCTCACAAAGTGTGTCTGTAATTTGCTGACACTACCAGTTTTGGTTAACTAAAAGACACATTTAACACAAAATATAATTAATGGTAATTCTTAGTTTTATCAACATTCAACAAAAAGCCAAACAGGACAAATAGCACCCACATGTCTCTTAAGGCCCCGGATAAACAGGCCTTGTGACCAGTCAGTGGCAACCATGAGACACAAGGGAAAAAGTGTGTAATCTGGTGGCTGCAAGTTGCTAACTGTCAGTGAAATTGACTATATGAGCCTCATTCAGACAGACCAGTGGCACCTGCTGATCACTAAGGAAGAGTGAATGCTGCAGTGGTTGCTGGAGGTTGCTGACAGTCACTGGTCATTGGTTGCAAAGAGGTATCCAATCAAAAATCTTTTGATTGCTTTGGTCTCTAGTAGGTTGCCATGGTCAGCAGCAGATTGTGCGGCTTGTCTAGCAACCGGAGAAATCACAACGTTTGTGGTGCAAGAACATCTTTGCAAATGACTTCTCCAATAAATAGATTGTATTTGCATGTTCTGTAAAATCCCTTAGAATGCTTTTATCAGGCACACACAGGTTTTATTTTCCCAGTCACCAGTCCACTGTATTCACTTCAAAACAAAGCAGCGAGTGAAGGCACCCAGCTAATTTATTTCTTTTCTTTTTCTCATTTTTTCAGCCAGCATGTTTTTAATTAAAAGTTCACTTTGAACATGTGATCTCATCCATTTAATTGGTGCAGGGGAGAACATTATTCTCGCTCGCCTTTAGGGAAATAGAGCTTCGACAATGCTGTGTGGAGAATATATATCACTTCAATTTAGACTTTGGGAAATGGATTTGTGAAATGTGAGTGTAGGTCAGTGGTTTAGCATTAATTTTTGTAAATCCCTTATCATATCTCATCATTAATCACCCGCAGATGGCAAATATATCTCATGTTGAATTAGGCCGCACCCTCATCGCTACCATCTTCATGTGTTTATCAACTAGAGAAAAGCCCATTAATGTGTTTGCTTATTATGTGTGTTTGGTGCAAGTATTACATATTTTAAGTGCCAACAGATGTACGTGTGGAAGCAGGAAAAAAAGGCATCTGTTTGTTAATGTGCACACAAATGTTTTTGCTGCAATTGTTTTCTTATTCATCCTGCAGATCAGAGCATCTGACATTTAGGCGGTTAGATAAGTTTTTTTTTTTCTCGAAAAGGCTCTGTAAAGAGAAGCAGCTGTTGAGACACACACTCATAAGACACACACATCAGGCTGCATGCTCAGGTGCCTACAAGTTCACTTTCACATAAATGCATACAAGCGGAAACCATTGTAAATCTTTACAGTGACTGTCAGTGCAGATATGTACCAGTTGATTAAAATCCAGTGCTTAATATTGTGTAGGTCTCCTTCATGCTGCTAAAACAGCTGCTGGGCCTGTCATGGAATCTCTGAGGTTGTCCTGTGGTATATGACAGTAGCACATTACAGATTATTTGAGCCCAGCAGGTTAAGATTTAGACTTCTATGGATCTGGCTTGTTCTCGGGCATCCTGAGTCTCGAGGTTGGCTAAGCATCATGGATTCTGTTACATTTCTTCAACATGTCTTGATGAGATTTGGCAAAGTGAACAGTGCATTGTCCTGCTGTGCAAAACCACTGACATTGGTGGGTGGTGTTGCCATGATAGAGTGGCTTGGCTGGAAGGAATATTACTTCAGTGTGACACAAAATGACATCCACATAATATAGTTGCTCCAAAACAGGAACATGAAGAAAATAACTCTCAAAAATCTCTCAGTTTTACTTGCAAATATATTCATACATACATGCTCCATTGATCAGAGTGCATAACAAAAAACATGTCTGCAAGCCTCAGCAAAACACTTTCTAGAAGTATACAGTACCAGTGGAAGGTCTGAACAAACTTTTCATTGGTACTGATGAGATATATTTATTTCAAGCCTTAACTGTAAACTTCAACTTTAAAGCTTAAAACCAAGTTTTACCAGTGATAGTAACAGCTGTCTATTTGAGGAAAAAAACAAACAAAAAACCCCCAAAGAACACACATACACACACACACACACAGTGATTTCTTCACTTTTCGAATTCACTCGCTTTATGTTGCCTAATAATCACACAGCCATCCACCAGTCTCAGAAAATCCCCTTACTCTAAATGTTCAAGCTGTAAAGGTGTAACATCTCACAATCAGAGTAAAGGTACAATAACACACATACACACACTTATGGATATGTATTCAAAGACATGGATAGTTACAACAGAAGCACACACACACATATAAGGGCTCCCAAGCGCTCGACACAGACCCACACATACACAATTCCCTATCCGCTCCTTGTGCTAGGCCCCTGCTTCATCCCTTGTGCAGCCTCTGAAAGCCATTAGTTTGAAATGGATATTTTACCAGAAAGGCAGAAACAGCAAAGAGAGTGACAGTAAGGGAGAGAGAGAGGGACTCATCTTTGGTCATCAGCAATTATCTTTTATGAAAGCTGCCAAACGGGAACAGGGGATAATTGGCCGCGGCCCCCTTCACAGAAACATACATTTCCCTAATTGCGTATAATTGTGAAGTGAGTTCTTGGCGTGGAGGACGGAGGTAATTGCGGAGGGCCGCTGCGTTTGTCCTGACCGCTAAAGGAGCCCTCAGCCATTCATGAAGCCTCTCAGAGTGTAATGGAAACACACATACACATGAAAGCAGCTCCACTGCACAAAGATAGATGTTCATTCAAGTATATAAACACCCCACTACACATGTGTTAAAATACACACAAGCACAAGCACACCTGCCAAAGCACATACAGGTAAATGCGCACCTGTTAGAGAGCATGCACACACACACGTGCTATTGATGTACACATAAAGAATATAAGGCAAGAGGAGACACGTTTGGACTTTGAAAAAGATCCATTCATTTCTACCCTCACCGTTCTCTTATACACACACACACACACACACACACACACACACACACACACACACACACACACACACGTATTTTCTTCCTTTAAGCTGTACTGGGGTGCTGAATCAGCACAGGAAATGATTTGCCAGGAACTTTGTTTGAAGTTTAGCTTCTAAAGTATATCTGTCGTTCAGAAATAAGTGACCCTTATAACAAATTATACGCCTTTTTAATGGTTAGTTTGGGATTTTGTGAATTTTTTTCCCCCTCATAGCAGACCTCGGGCCTCTTCTGCTAATGCTTTCATTGTAATAATGAATTTAAAGCACTCTGTGAGCTACAGGGGATAGTAAAGTTGAAGTAGAGTTGTCAGTTTTATGTGTTATGTCCCTATTTCAAAACAAAGTCTGTCTCTACTGTACTAACTGGACAAATAACAGTTGAAATATTGTCAGTTTATTGTGATTAATTTTTTATTCTTTTCAAAAACTCTGGTTGTCGTCGTTGCCACGTAAACCATCTCCTCATAAGTATTGCTTTAGCTAGTGATAAGTAGATTTGTTCCTGTTTCAGTAAACAACATAAGACACTACTTTTAAAGACATCATTTATTTTTCCAGCTCCTACCAGCTTGTTGTGAAGGAGGTGCGCAAGTCCAAGACCCGCCGTGCCGCTTCTGAAGCCCCCGAGTGTTTTTCTGTCCCAGTGAGCTTCCGCAATGCCTCCATCTTGGACTCACCCTATTACATTGCTGCTGAATTACCACCGTCCAGCCTCACGGTGGTACAGCCCTTCACTGTGGGGGACAACAAGAGCTATGGTGGTTTCTGGAACCCTCCGCTGTCACCTGCCAAGAGCTACAGCATCTACTATCAGGCAATGAGCAGAGCCAATGGGGTGAGTCTCAACTCTCCAGAAGTACCCATTGTAACAAGAAGTGGCATGTTCATATTTCCCATTTGGCCATATTAGATTTAATTTAAAAGTAATTAGACAAATTAGATTAGTTTACATTGTGGGTTTATTGTCATGTCATTAATAACGGGAATAATAGTGACTTTTGAGGTGCACAACACATGGTGTAACAAATTTGATATGAAGCTTTACCAGGATTATCTTATTTTTATTTGTCATAAATATAATTTTAAAAAACAGCAACTTTAAAACCATTCTTTGGCAAGCAAAAGCAAAAGTAAAAACAAAAATATTGTTTCTCAATCTCAGCAGATTATTTAAAAAAAGGGCCAACAATTCTGTTCCTAAGTCATTAATGTGACAGCAAGTGATTGAAGTTAGAATACATTATGTTATGGGCGTCTTGCGTGACTTCTCAAGCCTGTAGTTTAATATACTGAAGGTTATGTGTTTGCTTATCAGAATAAATAAATAATTAATATAAAAGAACACAATTACAACTCCCTCTGGGAATCCCCACTCCTAGCATTCAGCTGTTGATGTCTGTTTGCTGCCCTTTTTGTCTGGTAATTATACTGTCTGCGAATACAACAACACCTCGCCCACCTCCCGCCACCCGTGTCCTTCTCATAACTCATTCACAACTTCAACTTGGCTTTTGAATTTCCATAATACTCTGAACTCCTGTGGGGGTTATTTTAATTTTCCAACGCCGTAACCACGGTAACTCAGTTTGGAGAGCGAAGCCGGGTGAGCTGGCTGACTGTTGTGATGTAATATCCTCCTCCAGAAAGCAGATTTCCCACAATGCAGTCATATGGAGAAAGGCTGTGTGCAAGCGGGTGTGTGTAGGGGGGGAATTCTTGCATGACTGAACAAGTGTGACTGTGAGCAGATGAGTATTCATTTAAAAGTGTAAATACTCGCTCGTGTGCCCCACTTTTGTGTATCGTGTGTGCTTTGCACACCTGTATGTACAGACCCCAAATCCAGTCAAATCAGAGTTCCTTATTTGATTGGATTTCAGTCAATCCAATCAGTTTCAGGTTTGTTTAGATGATGAATTGGGGCATTGTGTGGGTGCTTAGTGGTTAAAACGGAAATAAAAATGCAAGCGCACCTGTGTAGTCGCTTTAAACAAGATGATTTGATAAGGAAATCAGGCATAGAAATAGACACGTGTTCATAAAGCATGATTTTTTTGTTTTTTACCTGATTATACTTCTCTTTTAAATTTCAAGTGATTGCAACAACCAGGGTGGTCTATCGATTTTACTTTCCCAGACAGAAAAATGTCAGATAAATGTTAAATAAGTAAGATTTAAAATGATGGACTTTACTGCAGTCTGATCAAACCATTTGAATTACATGTCAAAAGGAAAAGTCAGTCGTTATTACTACATTACTACATACACTATATAATACATGAGTCGACTTTTGTTGTGATTTGGCATCATACAATTAAAAATTTATTGAATTAAAACATTTTAATTTCAGGCACAAATCTTTGATATTTTGTGACTGCATTGCTGTGCAACAGTCTCTTTTTAACTAACCAGGGTTACATACAGTATATTTCAGGGATCTGAGGTGAGTAAAATCAAGGAGTCAAAACCTCCAAAGATAATTATTAATGTGGATAATAGTGAAATCCTAAAGTGGCAAGAGTAATCATATTGTTCCACAACATACATTACATATAGGACACAGGACTCCTGAACATGGTGAATGAAAATAGGTTGAACACAACTGGACTTTTTGAAGGGCACATCACCTTTCTCACACACCCACGCACACAGGGTCATGTGCAGACAGACATCACACACACACACAAAAATCCAGGTCTTGAGTCAGTTGTTTTTTTTTTTGGAGCCATGCTTGCTACTCAGATCTAGCCAGCAGATTCACTGTGGACATTTTCATCCGCTCTGAAATGACTGCAGAGCCACATTGGTGCAGAAAGAAGACAGTCAGTATTTATTTAATGTATTCTGTAAATTGCATTTAGTAATAATATGTGAAAGTGATAGTTTGTCAATCAAGGATTTAAGTTATCTGTAGTCCTCACAAAGTCCTGTGATTTGTTTAATTTCTTTGCTGTCAGTCATTTCGTAGTGTAGGTGTCACTTTTTTTCTGCAGCAGTAGATGTCTCATATTGGAAAGAAACTCCTCATTTACATTTTAGAGGACTTGGCTCATTTGTCGTAGTTTGATCCCATGGATGAAAGTCTGTTTCTCATTCTCTGCCTGCCTTGGATAATCCTACTACTTTTTTCTCCCCCTCTGAGCTCCACCTGTCTATCAAGGAGAATGTCTATCCGCAATCGTTTTCCTTCTTTTTTTTCTACCATATCTCTAGGACATTTAGAAGAAATTGTTCTCTCAATCCACCCACTCTCCATCTCTTCATTGCTCACTGCTGTTTTTTTCTCTTTCATCTAATAAAAACAATCAAATTCTTTTTTTAATCTTCTACCTCCCTTTCCTAAATTCTCTCCATCTCCATCTGACTTCCTCTATGCTTATGACAAATGTTTTCTCTGATTTAACCCTTCATGCTAATCTGTTGCTCACCCCCTTATCCCCACTGCTTTTCCTCCTTCTCTTCAGCAACCACCTGTTTCCCTGCTTTCTTTTGGGCTTGATTCTCCCAGAGGTAACATCAGTCTGATGCCAGTCTCTCATCTCCTGTCACTGTGCCAGTTAGCTCTGCACACTAAAGCTACTAGGCAATCTCGACGTCTCCATGTTGTGCGTTGCCACACGAGCACACGCGTCGCCCACCCACCCATACACACACACAAGAATAAATGCCTAGGGCAATAAGTAAGAGAAGTAAGAGCAAGAGTGGTTTGGGAGTAGGGAAAGAGAGAGAATTGTGGGAGGGGTAATAGCAATCTAAAAAGAGTAAAAGAGACATTAAACAAGATATAATACTAGAGGCAAAGATGGAAGTCAATAAAGATAAAAACTGATATGAGCGGAACTGTCATGAGTTTGGTTACTGGAAAAAAATACTTTTGACCCAGTGTGTTCATTAGCATTTAACCAAAACCGCAATCTATACTTAACCAAGTTTTCTTTTTAAAGATGTACACAAGCAGAAACGAGAATGTGAGCACGGTTATCCATTTTGATCACCTCCCTGTGACCCAAATGAAATCCTTAAGTGGGGTATTTTATTAATTGAGTATGCACGTTGCCTCTGAGCAAATAACAACCAACAATATATTAAAGTTTCTAGTTGCAAATGAAAAGTAACTAAAGAGATTAAGGAGAGGTTTAGAAAGGTTGAAAGATCACACCTAGTGTTGTTAATTTTTTAATATAGAAGCAGGACAAAAGTCTGAAAAAAGATTAAATGTGTCTGAAAGATAATATACACAGAGCTACCTGAAGTAATAGGTTTAAAGAAGGGCGACTGAGAAAAGTCTAACCAAGATTTACTTGTCAACATACATAAAATGATCCGTGGATAAAATGGATAAAAAACAGGATGGGAAATTTGGAAGAAATTCATGGGAGGACAAAAGGAGGTGAAGGATTTTGGAGATTCTGGAGTCAGGGAAGGTGGAAGTATTTGAAGAAAATGGTAAAGGAGGAGGAAGTAGAATGCAAGGAGAAATGGGGTGGGAAATGGCACAAAACAAAAGGAAAGTGTGACAAACATGGAAAAACATGCCCTTCTGCAGTGTGAGAAATGCAGCCAGACACCTTTCTTGACAAGTAAAAAGCCTCAGGGGTTGGCCAAGATGCTCTGACAATCAACGTCACACACGCACACGCACCAAGCAAGCCTCAGAGTGCAGTTTTTGGAGAGTGTAGGAGAGAGACAGAGGAAGATTTTACCAACTGACAGTCAGTGTCAATCAAGATGCACTCAGATGACTCAGAAATCCCTAAATGCATTTTTTCTGTGTGCTGGTGTATGACTAAGGCTCACACACTTTCGTACGTTTGGCTTGTGGGTAAGTGTGTAGGAATTTTTGCACGTACATATGTCTAAGTTTGCATTTGTGATAGACTTATTAAGATTCTATTCATTAAACAGTCATTTTTCAAATTAAACAATGGAAGCATATACTGTGCATGAGCAGTTCATGCCCATGTGTTTGCCTGCTCGTCTGAGTATCAAGAGTTTTTGGTAAAAGAATGAGCTTCAGGAAAAAGAAACAAAGTGTCAAAGACAGGGTAACATTATTTTTATTTTTTTTAAGTTGTTACCCTGGCTACATGGGGTTGCCTGGGAACTCCAAGAGCTAATCACAGTATCCAGAAGTCACAGAAAAAACATACATGATTGAAAATCCTACCAGTCGGTTAGAACACTGAGCCAACCAACTGTGATTGAATTGGGGAAAAAAGGAGAGGAAAAGACTGGCAAAGATGGAACGATAGATGGATGGAGAGAGAGCTCACCCACACAGCAGCTGCATCTCTCTTGCACTTTTAGTATTCCTGTCAGGCTCTACAACGTTAACTACTACACACAGAAATGAATGCTGTGTTCCATTGTAAACACCTCAACCCCCTTCTGGTCTCCAAATGCTCTGTATAGAGTCAGGGCAATAAATCCTTATATTTATTAGCTTCGCTTCTTATAACCCCCTGAGGCTTAGTCCATTAGCATGAGCCAAGTGGAGGCCGTGTTTCTGTTCACAGTGACTGTGAATCCAAAACAACCACGCCTCTAAATGGACCATAAATGGGTACAATAGGGTCAGTTTATAAAGAAACACAATTCATTGGTCCTCATGAAACTGATCGTATTCCAACTGTGTCCATTCATATGATACATTTCACTCTTAGAGGAGTAGGCATATGAAAGAAAGTATTTTGAAACATTTGTTACTTTTTAGGCCTAATCAGACAGTTAAAAAAACGATGTTTGAAACCCCCAGGATGTCACCCATTGACTTTTGAAGCCTTAGAAGTAGCGTTTTTGGATGGTTATTTTTTATGCTTCGTCTTATGCTTTTACTGCCCCTTGTCTGCGGACCCAAGGTGCAAACTCTTGGGAACCAGTCTGGACTCTGCGTACCTCAGGTTATAGCAGAAGTGATTCCTATATCCTGTTAGTTCCCTTACATATAAATCCTTCTAAAGTGCAAGGCAATAGGTATGTGTAGGTTCTCACATATGTCCTTGTAAGTTGCAAACCTTCAAAAACATAATAACTCATATGCCAAGCAAATAAAGGGGTCACACAATACTAGAATCTTGGTAGTCAGTAGCAGTACTACTAATATATTTTTGTGGTGTAATTACAGTATCATAGAAATGAGCAGCATTGAGCTCTTTTTTTGAGGAGCCATGTTAATGTGTTACAAGTACAAAGTTATGTTACCTTTGTGAATATTTTATGTTGAGCATTGCTGCGACGCAGCTGTAAATTCAGTATTCATTATATTCTGTATAAATGAAATTATGTTTTGACAAGTTTAGTGTCCCATATCATGAATCAAAATATCTTCAAAAACAAGTCTCGTTTTGTTTTCCCCCACTGAGGAATTTGTTCAGTCTCTAGTAGACAGCATCCATTTTTTTAGAAATAGCAAGTGGCATGATTTTTGTCATTAGCACACATGTATTGGCCTGGTGAAATCCCTTTTTTAGTCTTATGAATCAGTTTTTCTTGCCCTCTATTTTACATATTAACTGAAGAGTACATTAATTGCTTTTGAAAGCCATGTGTGTACATATGACTCTTATCATACATTCACTCTCAGTTTTCTACAGGTTCCTTCAGTCAAATTATGCACAGAGACAAATGAGGGAAACAGATAAATAAGACAATAAAGCAGTTGAACAGCCAGGGATTGAGAGAGTCATTATTCAGACAGACAGATGGACAGATGGAAAGCAGACAGAGATTTAGTAGAAGCAGGTGTGTTTGAAGATGCTCATAGGATCTATCATTTGCTTGCATGTATCCTTTCATAAATCTTTGTAAACATGACAATAAAATGAACAATATAAGTTAATGGTGTTAAATCTTCAAATACCAAACTGTAGTTTGAATAGAGCTGGACTTACTTTTGGCCCCTGACCACATAATTAAATCTAAAAAGCCAATCTAGTGGAATATATAAATGATGTTTTGAGTAGGCTGCTACCATTTGTTCTCTTATGTTTAACTTTGTTATGTTATGTTTTGGAGTGTTTATGAATTAAAACTTGTCACATTCAGTGCGGTGGGCTTTTTGTTTGCTTTTGAACTCCACTGCTAAGAGCAACCTTGAAGAAAGAGTTTTTCTTCTGTATTTAAGCACAGAAATTAGCTTAATTTTAGGCTTTGCAAAGCATCTCTTCTTCTTAAATTATTTTGTTTCTTCCTACAGGAAGACCGTTTACAGTAATCTAAGTAAGACCCAAAATGGCACAATAAAAATGAAAATGAGTGTACAGAAGCATGTACATTAGGACTGATTTTAATGCTGAGGTAACACATTTCCGTGTTGGTAGCTGCTGTAGTCTTTATATTTGATGAAGACAAATGGGCCAAAACATGAAAGAGGCCAAGTGGGTGAGATAGGTGCACGCACTGATGACAGCACATCATAAAAGAAAGAAAAGAGGAAAAGGCACGGGCAGCAAAGGAATGAAACGTGCTGGTTTAAAAGACAGAGGCTGAGAGACATCTTCTACCCTATTTTCTGTAAATATCAAGATATGTATACTGTAGTTTTATATTGTACTATGTATGTATTTTTTATAGGGTCACATTTAAATTCATTGGAGAATCATATAAGAGTATTCCTTCAGTACATTCTGTTGTCATCTGGCTCAAGAGCTATGACAAATAATGGGAGAGACATAATTTGGACAAAAGTTTACAAAAGGCAATTAATTAATTAATTAATGTGGTGTTTTGTAGTGTAAAACCTAACAAACCAAAATGGCCAAGCCCAAGCCAAACAAACAAATATCAAGTTTCACATTACTATAGTTAGTTGGATTTTTCCCCATAATAAAAAGTGTCCCATTTAAACGACTGTGTACAACTGAAAGTCTGCTGATTATCACACGTTTCTCGTTAGTGCCCTAGCTCCTTATCTATCCTACCTTTCTTTGTATCATGCATGACTGACTCCCTTTACTTCCACCATCCCAGTTTTTTTGCCAGTTTATTTCCCCGCTCTGTTTTTCCCTGACTTGGATGGTTTGATTTGAATATCTACCTTGTTTGTCTTCCTTTTTATTGCTATTAATTCTTGTGTGTGCTGGTACCCAATGTTGTACTTTTGCCCTGTTCATTTAAGCAAGAATTAACTGATAGAATCTCACAGATCATATCCAAGTCCTTACTGGCTGTCACTGTATCAAACACTGAATATAAGCATCTTACTATCTCTCAAACCCTCTGCCCACTCCAGTGCAAGCACTACTGCACACAGTTCCGCTGCATATAGACTTAAATAATGGATGTTCTTCTACTTATGCCCATCTTATGGGAATGATGACTGCCCCTGATGACTCTGTGAGTCTGTTGACCCATTTATGAGATCAAAATATTAATCTGCAGCTTTATTCCAGTTCTTAATATTCAACAACAATAGGCTTCTGTAACCCGAGGACTGATGTAAGAAAGTCAAACCTGAGACAGACAACTCTTAAATGCTCAAGCAAGACTAGCCAGGTGCTCCCAGTTACACTAATTAACTCCACCTACTAGGAACCTAGAAGACAACACAGAGGGGCAAAGGGGAAAATACAGTAGGCCCTGGCCAAAGCTTAGGGCCATCACAATGCTGAGAAAAATGAGTGTTTAATACCAATGAAGGTACTTTTGTACTTTTTTCACTTATTTATATATGATGTGTGGAAAACCATTCGAATCAACACCAAGAATTGTACAGCATATTGATCCTGGTATGATTGATGTGTCAATCATGTGTGTTTGGACAAAATGAGAAGCCAGTGGCATTGTTTTGTGATCTTACTGATGATTAAGACCGATGATTACGTGGTGTATGCAATATATGCACTGTCAGGCAAGTGGTTACTGTATGCAGTCAACCCATATATTAAAGAGGGTACCTTGTTTTAGTCTGTTAACTATGATTTAAATACATTTTTTAAAACTGTTGTGGACAAATTTCCAAAGCATGATTCCTGATTGATTTTCTGGTTCCTGTTTCAGATTTAACACTTTTCTTTGTCAGTTGTTTCAACGTTTTCTAAAAGTTTTCTAAAACATGGTGCTGAGTTTGCAATTCAAGATATACTGCAGCCTCTGGACATCAGCTGATCTCAATGCCTGCCAATGTCATTGGATGGCTGATACATGCGGCATTTATGTTGTTTTAGCTTGACCACAGTTGCTGTGTATCTGGAGGCCAGTTTACAGCCCAACTATAGCTCAGCTTTTCTTTTTCAAGCTTTGTCTGACTTAATGTCTCTGTCTCTGCAATCATTGTTGTCTGCTCTGTTTTGGGGGGTGGGTGTAGCTCAGGAGGTAGAGTAGGTTGTCTACTAATTGGAAGGTGGGTGGTTTGATCCTTGTATAAAGCACTTTGAGTGCTCAGGTGTATAGTATAAAAGTGCTAAATAAGAACCAGTCCATTGATCATTCTGTACAGAATAGAGCTAGTGCCAATGATTTTTCAATACTGCAACAAACGAAACTTGACTTATGCCTTGGAGAATACTCAGAAAAAAGTCAGATTTCAAAGGGTTTTCCACCATTTTCCTATGTGTTCAACAAAGCCTTACCCTCATGATTCAAAACACTAGTATCTGAAAAATTAACTGTATATTTTACCACAAGGTAATTAGTTAACCTGTCTGTCTCTCTCCACAGGAAACCAAAATCAACTGTGTCCGCTTGGCTAACAAAGGTATGAGCAGCCTTCCATTGATAGTCAACATGCACATTAATTATGATAAGATATTTGTAATTTTAATTTGAAATTTGTTAGTAGTTCATTTTAAAGAAAAAATGGTGCGAATACACGACCCCCTAGAATTGTGTTGTGCTACAAGTGTATCAGCCAAGATGAGAAGATTGCACACTATTCTGGAAAAGGTGAACTCACAACCATCAGCCCGGGCAAACCTATACCACATCCACGTTATCTTGCATGATTTTGTCGCATAGCATTCTATCTCCATCTCTTCTATCCTTATAGCCCTTTTCACACTCACCTTTTCTGTGACTTTCCTCCATCATGCTATTCTTTATGCATCTCACACCACATCCATGTTGGTCATCAATGTTCAATGTTCAAATTGTATTCGCGGTATAAAGGGTATAAAGTGGAACATTGGGGCCATTATAATACCAATTGACCACCTTCATTAAACCCAGTGAATGAAGGCTAAAGTGTTAGCTCCAAAACCCATTTCATCTTCTTCTGTTTTGCTTTCCCCATGTCTCCCATTTTTATTTGCTGCTCATCTCTGGCAAATACACCCATTTATGTGCCAGGCAATATGCTTTAAAAGCTTTTCAGCTTGCTATTGATTTTTTCTCTCACCTCGTCTCCTTTATCTGTTTTAGTTTTTCATCTGCATCAGGCATTGATTTGATTTTTCCACATCTCCTTTGTCTGTTTCTGTATCTCTAACTCTCTTATTATTTTTTTGTCTACATAAAACATTTATTGCTCTTTTATGAACATTCTTATCTTTTTTACCATTCTTTTTTTTTTAATCCATTTTCATTTCTTTCTTTTCTTTTTTGAGTGAGATGTACTCTGGTAGGATGTCTACAGTGTCTAAACACTGCGCTCTGTCTGTCTGCATGTATGTGTGCTTGGAAAAAGACATGCTTTTAACTTTGTGGCCGTCTTTCATATATTTAAAAATAATACAAATCTATTTTGAGTATGTGAAATTATATGTAATCCAAAAAAAAAAGATTTTTATACATGAAGTATCATTAATATGATGTTATTTGGTGTTCTGAGGCAATGCAGATGGCTGATTTTGCAAATAATTATGATTATGTTTGCTGCATTACCTAATATCCAATATATGTGCACTTATCATGCACTATTGCATATTTACAATAAGTACGTGACATCACTCGTTTTCTTTCTGTTGTTTCTGAACTGCAAAAAATAAAATTGTGAGGCCTTAATCTACCACATTGTGAGCTATTAAGCATTTAAAGGTAACAAAGCAATAATAGCTCAAGTGACTTTTGAGAACAAAAGGAGGGACAACTAGAGCCGCATACCTGCCTCAGTTTTACTCTTCCAAAACAAATATTCTACCATTAAACTTTTAGTAGTTTTACAGTATTTGTATTAGAATGCTGTATAAAGGAAAGTAATAACTAGAGTCAGATGCCAAAATTGGTCTCTCCACCAATTTTCCCATGCCACAAAGTTCATAATTTATTTTCTTTTAACCATCACTTTGTTTCTTCCGTCTTACATTTCCCACTCCCCTGTTTTTATTAACCCTTCAAACCAGGCTAACAGACATAACAAGCTCCAGTGATAACCGCCAACACCATATCTGCATTCACTGACAACTACTTTGTAATAAACATCCTCACCAGCATCACCTCTTTCTGGCCTTTTCCTGGTAATGGGCCAGTCAAGATGCTCATTGAGGGTTATTTCCTAGAAATAAGACCAGTCATATCCCAGCTGAGTGGTATTGATCTCATGGTTCTAGTGCTATCTCTCACCACTGCAGTTTCTCTCCTCCAAGACAGATTGTGCAATTGAAAACCAGGGAGATCTAAAACTTGATGAATTGAAGAAAGACAACTATACATCTTTTTTTCTTAGACTTTTTCTTCTTTCTTTTCCTTTTTTGTTGTTGTTTGTTTTCTCTCTTCCCTTTCTTTCTCATGCTTTCCGGCGGGGACGTGCGACCCTTGGCCTTAGTGGTAATAGGTAGGGGACAAATAACAACGCCGTACATTCTAGTCATCCCAAGCGAAGGTGATTATTGCTTTATAGGCAGAATATTTTCTTCCCAATGTTATGTCACAGTACAACCATAAACACGACGCAAACACTGTTTCATTTTGGTTGTCCCCTGCCCTACACCCTCCCTTTTTTCTTCCCTTTGTTAATTTTTTGGCGTTATCTTTCCTTCTCATCACCATCTTAATACATTTGTTTGCATGTCTGCTCTGCTTCAAGCGTTGCTGGCTGTGCTTGAACGTCCTCTCTGTCTTGCATGCACACATACACACACATTTTTCACACACACACTTAAGTGAAACCATGCTGCTTTTGTGCATGGTCAGTAGCGCAGCTGTTGCACCATTACACTGATTGTAGGCTTTGTTTTTTTTTAAATCTTTTTTTCTTTAATAAAGTATAGTTTAATATTAAAAAGAAAACTGACTAGACTATAAATAAATACAATTTTTTCCCCTGTTCCCCCAACTTTATTAACAATGCATATACTATTCTGAAAGTATAGTTTTTGCATTTTTGCAAGTATGATTATCTGATTGAAAAAAGGGATGGTAACAATTTTCATTTGATAATCTTTGACCGTTGTCTCATCCACAATATCCACCTCTTTGCTTATTCTAAAGCCTTCGTATATAGGTCCACGACATTTGTTGTATAATATCAAATCAGTGAAGATGCTTAATTCAGTTGTACTACATGCTCAAACACCTAGCAGAGTACTAAAAATGTTGAATAATAACAACTAAGTGGTCAAAACATCAATTAATATGCAAAAGCCACCAAACAGAGCATGGTGTGGTTTCAGCAGAACCATTATGTTAATTTATGTCTCATATGATTTGTATCCTTGTATTTGGAAAGAAAAGAAATTCATTTCTGAATTTGTCAACCATGTCAAGTTTTGGAGCTTTGCCACCAAGGCTGAATAAATTTGTGTAATTCTTTAGTGAGAGATCCAGCCTTTGAATGTGACACAATTACTGTATATTAACTTCTGAAAAAGAAGATATCTCCTATTAGTTAGTTATTATTAGACACTGGAAGAATTATAGTTCAGTAATGTGTTTTGTCAACTGTTTACTGCTATTAGTGTGTTTAGTGCAGTGAACAACCTTAAATCGACAGAGCTGGTTACTGTGGAATATTTAAGTAAATTTTCAATGACAAACACAAAATAATAATAATAATAATACCAGCACAGTTCTTTGAAATCCAATCATCCATCTGTAATAAATACACAGCAGCTAAACATTGTTTATTAAATTGTGTCAAAACCATAGCAATTCTAATCCTCTTAGTATTTGTTTTTCCAATTCAGAGATGTGACAGTAGAATATGAATGTCATTGAGTGATACAACAGTCAAAATGTTGACTTTAACAATGTGGACACAACAGGGAAGCAGTCAGCAAAAAGCATTATTATAAACTGCTGTCACAGTTATTTGTCAAGACTATGAGTTTATTGCACAAGAATACCATAACACTTATTGTCCTGGGGGAAATTCAGTTTGCAAGCTCTCGCAGAAAGAATTATGCATATCATGCACAAGTCTGAAACTATAAACAAATAAAATTCTCAATTGAATAAAAACTGATTATATTTATATGAATGCAGAAGATCTCTGGGTACATTAAAAACCACATCGTTTTAAAACTGAACTTACTTTTGCAATGTAGCAATTCATGTATTATATTTAATATCATATTCAGAGGACCATTTAGGCAGACATCCTAAATTGAAAAAGTGGTACATAAAATGCAAATTTTTCTCTTTCTTTGTACTCCACTTAGTAGAAGTCACACTTTATTAATCTATCCTGCTTGAGAAATGCTAAACGACTCGACTTATTTATCTAAAGCTGAGTCTATATGGAACGTAAAATTTGTCCACTTATTATAATCCTTATACTCACAAACCTTTTTTTAAGTAGTAATAATATAACATACTTGCAATTACTTACTTGCGTCTTCCAGAAAGAATACTCTGCAGTCTCTCTTCATGTGTACAAATAAACTCTCACTTAAAGCTGTATTTGTTCAGTTGCTTTGGCAAATACATAAGAGACCACTGTGATAAACTGTCAATATGGCTGAGAACAAATCAGTTAAATAAATAAAATAAATAATTCCCTGACTTCATATGCAGCCCACCACGTGAAGCAGATAAATACCATTGCTACTCTGTGCATGCATGTCTCTCAGCCATGGTTGTGGATTGCATCATTCACGTCACATATTAGTAATGCAGAACTAAAAGACAGCCTGCAATTTGAAAAAAGCTTTTGTACCTCTTAGCCAAAACACTGTTGTTTTTGTTTTTTCTTTTTTTTTGTAAAATAGAAATTTATTTCCAAATCATACGTTTTTGCTTACCGAGGGCAAAATAAACCAGAAGGTATACATTGATAGGTGGGACTTTTACACTGGCAGGGTTTGAATGCCCAGCATGTTCTCAGCTACCATGGCTCATAGGAGCATCAAACCCACCCCTTGTCATTCACACATTGGTATTATATGTCAGTTTTAATTCCCATTCCCATTAGTCCTGAGGTCGATTATAATTGGTGGTGTTCAGAGTCGTGTTGTAACTCACACAGACACTGTGCAATACTGACGCAACATGTGGCTTGCTATCTGAGTATGTGTGTGCATGTGTTTGTGTGATATGGGTGTGCATGAGAACACTGTAAAAGTAACATTTTGAGGGAGTCGTGTCTGAATTATACTTGTCGTTGAACCCAACTACCTCAGACAAACAAACATACTTTTATTTGTAACTGCTGCTGTTTTTCCATCATTGCCAAGTGCTTACTTGTTGCTGCTTCGTCAGTCAGTTTTCTGTCTGAATTTGCAACACATTGAGTCAGAATGTTTAAAAAAACTCTCATAAGGAGCATTTGTAGGTAAGTATCTAGGGATGATGTGACATTTATGGCACAATACCATAAGGAAT